GGCATGAACAACCCTAGTTTGGGATACTCCAGAAAAAGGACTTCAAAAACTATGGAAGCCCCAAACGCCCAGCACGCGTATCCCCACTCCTGAACCTCTGTTTAATACAAAGCATTTATTTAGAAGAACGAACTCAGAACATGATAAAAGCGTTTATTCCGACAACCTGACTTTTCCACTTATTCATTTGCATGCGCAGACCGTTGTGGCATCACAGATCAGGATCTTATCAGTGAGACTGGCACCAGAAGTGACATTGGCTCAGTATCACGACACACTGTTATGCACAAAGAAATAGTAAAACTGCAAAAGATCCAATCAGACTGATTACTATGCAGCACTTAGCAGTCATGTGATAATGGTTAAAAAATCGGATTTTGTACCAACTGTTCTTAGATGGTTACGAAACTGAATACATTATCAGACCCTCTGTGCCACCGTACCAGACTGAGTGACCACATCAGCATTCTCCATCTAACGAGTGCAGATTTCATTCAAATATATCTAATTACGCATACAAAGCATGGAGTTGTTCACAGCTCATGGGAGGCCCAACTAGATTACTAGGATCCATGAGTCTGTGTGTTGACACACCAAGCGCTATGATCCCGTACTGCGAAGTCGTACCTAGCATACGATGACAACCCATGCTGGCGATTGTACGGTATGTGGGTAGCCCAGCTAAACTGCCCTTTGCTGAGCTAGCCCTGCTAGCCGATTAATACCTCGCCCGGGGTCGAGATGATGGGTCAGTTTCCCTCCTTGTTGTGGCGTTGCCAGATACCCAAAGGTCTCTTTTCGGAGGTCTTGGTGTAATTCGTGAATCGTGAAAATTCAGTACCCCCTTCTAACCTCTTTCGCACAACGAGGTGTACCTGCTTTGCTTTTCTTCAAATCAGCCAATGCCGGGTTCGACGTAACATCAGTTCTGTCTCTATGAACGCTTTCATTTCCTTAGCACCAAATCACCTATGTGCGGTATTTCCGAGCATCAATATGTACACATATCGATAGAATTATATAAGTCCAACGGGGATCCTGTTTAGGATACCTATATTGTTCTATGCATGGAGCCAGACTGTTGTTAGCTTACAACCAACTAGCCATCTTACTTGGTACTGTCTACGTTAAGCGTCTCGCTCTCGAGTGTCGTATGTCCTACTTATCGGACAAATGAGTAAAACGACTTCGCTTGCTACTTTCATCTTGAACCGACTTTTTTGGGATGAAAAACAATCCTCGTGGAAGTGTTAACACTTCATTCCACCAGAACACATAAGGCTCGTAAAGCATGCGAGACAGAATTAAACTGTCAAAACATTTGTCAAGTGAAGTAGACACCATATATTTCTAAGACTAATATCATACTAGTCAACGGTTGTCCTGTTCATTGTTTCAAAATCCTCGTATTCTGTGGGCATCACCCGAAAGCAATATTTAAGAGAGGTAATTTGATACGACACTAGAATTTTGGCTGCAAAACTGGAAGGTTCGAGTGCTGCACACTCTTTACAGACAAGACGGGTAAACCTTTTCACAATACATGCCAGATAACTGCATATTACCGGACTGTGGAAAATTTTTGTTTGATTCAGCCTTCTCAGACTTCAGGTTGATAGGGATTGATGTATCGAAACGACTAGGCAGTATTATGGTTTTTCTGGGCTTCGCTTTGTCGTAAGCTATCATTAAAACTATAGGATACATGAGAAGAGGACTCTATTAAGGTTTCCAGGTCCTCGATACGACCTTTGAAAACGCTCGTGAAGTTTTTCACATCCCACGTCAAGCTCTGGTCCAATGAATCTGTCGGTCAGCCGCTGATCGGAACTCAACAACCATGTAAATTTATCTCGGATAGGTCTAGGTTTTTCTTCCATTGTCCGTTCAGTGGAAATCTAGAGAGCAAATTTTGAAATGTAAATTCAGATGGCATCTTGCTTAGTTCAGTTGTCTACAAAATTCCAGCATTCAGGACTTTAAATTACGGAAGTTGTGCTTCTAACGTAATGACGTGATGACGTAATCTTACCATGGGATATTCATCTGATGAATGGTGTAACACACCAGCAGAAAATAGTCTGAAATATGATGCAAAACGAACAGCGCAGAGAACAGCTAGTGAAAATCACCAGAATGGTCTGTCACGTGACTGTTTTTCACGTGTTGTTGGTGTGCTGGTATGTGCGCACGGCAAGTGGGACGTTCAAACCGTATGCAACATAGCAGTTAGCATGTGATTGAAGGAATATGTACGTGAATAGGCATAAGGTTGCTGAAAATTCTTCGACAGTCCACGACCGGTTTCGCCCTTTTTAGGGCTCGTCAGGTAGGCACAGTCCCCGAGTTTCTATCAACCTTGTATTCTGGTTGAACACAAATTGCATGAAATTAGCGAAATATACTCATTTTCAAACAAATTTGGTTTTGCGGGAGACCTACCTGGGACCCAGCTGAATATCCAATTTATGATGTTTTCAAGCAGCTTAGGGTGCTGTACCAGTTACATGACTTGTTTGTCCGAACTTTGCTTTTTGTTGACTATTGTTTCTCGTCGGCACGTTTCAAAGAGCGATAGGGTTATTTGGCGACAGCTTCCGCATTTATAGCACCCCGTTTTGTTTAAGTAACAAATAAATAAATAAATAAATAAATAAATAAATAAATAAATAAATAAATAAATAAATAAATAAATAAATAAATAAATAAATAAATAAATAAATAAATAAATAAATAAATAAATAAATAAATAAATAAATAAATAAATAAATAAATAAATAAATAAATAAATAAATAAATAAATAAATAAATAAATAAATAAATAAATAAATAAATAAATAAATAAATAAATAAATAAATAAATAAATAAATAAATAAATAAATAAATAAATAAATAAATAAATAAATAAATAAATAAATAAATAAATAAATAAATAAATAAATAAATAAATAAATAAATAAATAAATAAATAAATAAATAAATAAATAAATAAATAAATAAATAAATAAATAAATAAATAAATAAATAAATAAATAAATAAATAAATAAATAAATAAATAAATAAATAAATAAATAAATAAATAAATAAATAAATAAATAAATAAATAAATAAATAAATAAATAAATAAATAAATAAATAAATAAATAAATAAATAAATAAATAAATAAATACTTCTATGGAATTTTCTCTATTTTTCTGTTTCAGAGGGCACCATAACCTGTTGATTAGATGGGTGAAGGGTAAAGCGATGGCGTGCTGTTCATTCTCTGCTATGTTGATATTTCTCTAACCACTGGCCAAGACATTGGTTCAGATAGTGACAGTCGGCACGCATCAGCCCAATTTTTGGAGTAACTTCGGGCGCACGAGACCACGACCGCTTAACCCTCAGTCAAATAGCTAAGCTGAAAGACTTGGAACTAAACGTCAAATGTGACAGCGTTCGCTGAGTTGGTGAATGCATTTCTTCTGAAGGTCAGGCCACTTCTTGTCCAAAAACACACACCGAAGCCTCATTTGATAAAGTCAGTAGTTGTCTCGTATGTCTATCGGCCCATACTTCAGTCACACATTAACTTAATAGTTTAGGATAGGAGAATCAACGATTAGACTGTATCATGGAGCAAATCCCCTCTGGGTTGCCGAAACTGATGTGATAGGTTGTCTATAAGGTAGGATTTTGTTGCGTACTTGGGAAAAACCAAAAAATCAGTATAAACGCATATTTCAGTAGGGCTTTAATTTGTTTTTATTCACCCTCAGCAGCTTGCGAACTTACCTTCTAAAGATCCTCAAGTAGAGACGTTGGCCACAACTTCTTTAATATCAGTCAGTCAGTCCTAAAGTGCCCAATGGATCGGACTGTAATGTCCCATTCAGAATAACTATGCGTTTCAAACTGAGGTGGGAGTCAATGAATTGCCCTGAACCATAGCATTAACAAAGTTGTTGAACCGCATCAACGCTATTCCTTCTTCGTACTTGTTTAGTTGCCCCTTAGATCATTCACTAACGAGGAGTTCGCCATTAGCCATAGCAAAGTATCGGCTTTCCGAATTCGGTACTACCCTCATCCCGGCACACACTGACTGTTTTAGAGTTCCGCGTGAACCAGTACATGCAATCTACTTAGCACAGCTAGTTTACTCGTGTTGTTGGTTCTCCCCCTGTACTACGTATTTCTGCTTATCCATTTTCAGGGCATGTCACCTTGCCCTTTTTATAAGACAAAATACTTTGTCGCATAGTACCAGGGAAGAACACGGTCGCCCGACATCTTTTCGCGTCTTACCAAACAACATCATCTCAACGGACTTGAGTAAAGAGTGTTCGCAGTAGCCCTGACTAAGTTTAAATCGAGTGAGGAATGAAATTCGGTGGACAGATTTCGTCTATCTACTGCAGGGACAAGCACCACAAATTTAAAAAAATCAATCAGTAGATATGAGACAATAGTGGTCTGGCCTTTTGCTACGAAAGGTGCGATTCAGGGTCACGTACTTCACTGGATTTATCACCCATACCCGGTTTGTGGTTATTGGCTGGTACTCAAAAGAAAGAGGTCGTGTAGTAAAGTCGAGGAGAGCGAAGGGACAGAAAGCTCTGCTCATTCGGATGTCTAACCTTGAGTTTAACTACGTTCAGTGGACGCTTCACTAATTCCTGCTCGTCCGAGGATAATTTATGCACGGAGGAGCTATGGTTTCCAACAAAACCAGTCCCCATTGTACTATACATGTAAAGAAATGGGAAAACATCTGGTCAGTCGCACAACCAACAGAGCTGATGACCACTAAAAGCCTGGTCAGCAGGGGCATTTATGGTGATGGGGCCCAGCAAAATTTTTAGAACTTGTTCCCCCGCGATGCATAAACGGAAGCTCTTTAAGGCAGAACGACTGGGAAGTGAGTCAAACATGCATTGGTGAGATGACCAGGTGACATACAGAAAATACAACCGAGCCTTCATTAAGAAGAACATCAACTAGTGTTGTAAGGGATGTGTGGAAATAAACGAAGTTACCCAGTTCGAGGAAAACCAGGAATGGGCCAGTAACTAGTTTTTGCTTTGTGTTACCAGCCAACCAGTCTGTCAAGCTCTCACTTCTCAGCTAAGCTGGACTGAAGTCTATGTGGAGTACGAATGAACAGCTGGTATCCGAAATGGATTTCCGGTCAACAATGATATGCTGGCACACCAACTATACGTAAATGTCAGTGACACTGAATCGCACTTGAAAACTTTGCTTAAACAAGACTGAAAACAGTCATTCAATTTAAGAATTATAAATAGAGTTTCGGGGGCAAACTAACCAAATTATATTGAGTGAGCCTTTGTCGATTGGATGGAAAATAAAAGAACCACCATGATTTGCCAGGACCATTACGTAAGTAAATTCAGGCGAATTTCCCTGAGCGTCTTCTGATGGTACAGACTAACTGCCATTCAACGATGGTTCCATTTAATCAACCAATAATGGAAGTCTGGATGATATCAACAAGGTGGTAACAAAAACCCATTCACCTAGATTTTTGGACAGGTTACGCAACAGTATGCTTCCGGTTGTCCTTCGAATGGATATCAACTAATAAATAACAGTGAAACGAGTTCTAGCGGTGAACCAAAACATGTGCCACCCCCATAATTGATCAGGTATAACACTCTGAGTAAGTCGCTATTTTGACACAAGTGGTTTTGGTATCTGGATAATCAATCATATAACAGGTGCAGACTTCTATAAAGCTGGCGATATCCAAGAGGAAAACGGATTACATGAATCGATTTTTGCGAATGAGGGGGGGGACGGTAAATGTAGCATCAAATCGTTTGTATATCAATAAGTCGATCTAGCAACCAATCAACCAATTAATCAACTCAACCAACCAACCAACCAACCAATCAATCAATCAGTCAGTCAATCAGTCAATCAAACAGGCAATCAATCAAACAATCAACCAACCAGCCGACACCTACCCAGCTATCTATCTATCTATCTATCTATCTATCAATCTATCTATCTATCTATCTATCTATCTATCTATCTATCTATCTATCTATCTATCTATCTATCTATCTATCTATCTATCTATCTATCTATCTATCTATCTATCTATCTATCTATCTATCTATCTATCTATCTATCTATCTATCTATCTATCTATCTATCTATCTATCTATCTATCTATCTATCTATCTATCTATCTATCTATCTATCTATCTATCTATCTATCTATCTATCTATCTATCTATCTATCTATCTATCTATCTATCTATCTATCTATCTATCTATCTATCTATCTATCTATCTATCTATCTATCTATCTATCTATCTATCTATCTATCTATCTATCTATCTATCTATCTATCTATCTATCTATCTATCTATCTATCTAATCTACCTATATCCGTGGCAGATCAATGTAAAACACTTCCCCTACAGTTGATAAATTTGATTCGAAAGCCATGCAACCCATTTTCGTCTCAGACAACAACTGTTTAGTGATTCGCTCATGCGATCATACTAACATGCGCGTTCAGACTCATTGGAACCAGTCACTTGTCTGTCATCAGTGTTATCAGTTGTCTCGGATATGAACGGCTCAAACTCGCCTCATTAAAGAATTCTGTAAAGGAAGTTAAGCAATGCTCTTTGCGTGTTTTTTGTAATGTACTCAAAAACGTTGGTTATTGTCTATTTGAGGGCTATTTTGACAGACAAAAAGACAATCCGCTTTTGAGGAGAAACTCAGGTTTTATGTCCAAGTGAGAAGACTATTCTCCCAATGTCTATTTGGGGCGGTGAACCAAAACATGCGCCACCCCCATAATTGATCAGGTATAGCACTCTGAGTAAGTCGCTATTTTGACACGAGTGGTTTTGGTATCTGGATAATCAATCATATAACAGGTGCAGACTTCTATAAAGCTGGCGATATCCAAGAGGAAAACGGATTACATGAATCGATTTTTGCGAATGNTGCTCTTTGCGTGTTTTTTGTAATGTACTCAAAAACGTTGGTTATTGTCTATTTGAGGGCTATTTTGACAGACAAAAAGACAATCCGCTTTTGAGGAGAAACTCAGGTTTTATGTCCAAGTGAGAAGACTATTCTCCCAATGTCTATTTGGCTTCATCTTTTAAAATATTTCCTAAGAGGCCACATTTAGTTTTGTAGCTCACGGAAGAAGCGTACCTGATGTTCTCACTCGGTGAGCGGTCACTTGAAGCGTCACATTTAGACGTGACCGATCGGGTGAAGCTCCCAACAAGGGGAACACGTGTTTCAACAGAATGGATAATAGCTCAATGAAACCAAAGTGATTTTTCAAAGACTGGTTTTCTTTCTGAGAACACCCATTGACGTAGCATCCAGAATCAAATTAATTTTTTGAGAAAAGACTAACGTTGCTGTTCAAAAGGCAGTCAAGGATGTATTTTTATAAATTATATCCGAAGATTACAGATCACGCTTGATGGGTTGGAAATGTGAAATGACTTTTGACCGTCCCAATAGAAAATACCAATCGTAAGATAGCTGAAAACTCTTCGACAGCCGGCTACTATTGACCTGTTATTCAGAGCTAATAGTGCTAACATGGATGAGGAGATAATATACTTCAAAGATCAGGATCATCGGAGCGTTGTAGCCACCCCTTTTGTGCACATTTACTGAATATAGGCGATTACTAACCACATCTGGACTTACTGTAAATATTTAACATATGTACTGATGACAGTCAGGATAACACTGGTAGTCGAACTGTGGGGAACGAAGTAGAACAACGAAACCTCATTATAGAGTGGAGATCAGATCATGATCAAACAGACCGGGAGGCAACAAGCTCTTGGAAATCAAGCAGAGACACCAAATGACAACAAACAAAGTCTCAAGAGCGCCCAAGGAAACCCAATGAACGAAAGTCCCGACCTTTCATAACTGTTCACAAGGTCGGCAAAGACGTCGAGCAACAGATTACCGTTTTCACTCTTCTCGGCTCATTTGACGAATGGTCGTATAGTGCTTGTAAGCAGAAACTTTCATAACACGCAGCTGATTTTCCGTTGAAAACTTATGTAGAGAATGACGTCAGTAGGTCTCCAACTATTATCTATTATGTTGCGTCACTGTTTATAACCGAAGCCAATACTGATAAAATAGTTCTGTGGTTTTGGCAGCACAACCAGTGATGAGCCATAGGTATTCCGGATTCTGCTCTTCACTTTAAAATCGCGTGATGACCCAAGTTCACCCAGACTAGTGGAATTGCATGGTCAGTCGATCACGTCGTGTGCACATGGTTTTCACAACAAATCACATGAAAGCCAACGGCACTCATGTTATTTGTACCTGCAACAAAAACAAAAACTCGAGACCAGAGTTTTGATTCTCGCAGTAACACAATAGGCATGAAGGTCAACACCGTTGGAAGTCGAACATTCCTGAATTGATTGTTGATGGCCTGATGGTATGGTGTCACAGACACAATACGAGAAACAGTGATTAGTTGATTACTTTTTCGCAATAACTGAGACATTTCTGAAATGAGAATGGATGTGTCTGAATGACTGGACAAAGCGTCTGTACGAAGCAAATACATAAGCGGTCGGCTTCAACTGTAAAACGTATACATTATGAGCCCCTGGGTTGCAGTAAATTTGCCTTTTCTCAAGCATATATATGCTGGTTTACTCTGAAGCGTTTCGTTTTTAGAGATTCACGGTTCGTTGGTATGACATCCGTCGAGAACCGTCTGAGCGTTATTCAGTGGGTGTTATGTTCGAGCAACGTTTATCCAATCGCCATGAGGTCTAGGAAACCTCCAGTGACTGGCAAAAGAAACTGGGTTGGCCAGCCCATTTAGTTTTTAGGAGATTGGAGGCTCCATAGTTACTGTGAACAAATGACAACAAATCTACTGCTTAATGTCATAGAGAGTGAAAAAAGAAAAACTACTCATGAGTAGTTGCAAGATTGGTAGATCTGTTCAAAAGCGAGGGAAATGAAAACTTACAAATTATGAGAATGTGGGGGAACAATTTACACTGGGTCAATTTTTGTGTAACTCAAGAGAATGGCTAAAAACCAGTGTCCTCCCGAGAAAGTCGTGGTAAATAATCGAAAGTGTGTTACCCATTATATCACCAGTAGATGGCTGGCGAGTGGATCAAGATTTCCAAACCTAATTAAAAGTTGGAGAATGTTTCAGGCATGGGAAGAAACTCAGTTAGTGTAGTTCTCCAGTTACTTGCAAGCCCTCAAGTAGGGGGATTAATGGCACCTAATAAGCCTCAGGAAGGACGAGAATATCAGTGGGCTAACAGTTTTCAGCAGCACTAAGAGTAGTGGGTTTAGCCAAGCAAATGACTGAACTTTTGTTTATGGTAAGGGATTTGGATGACATAAGTTCCCGGGGCGCCTTGTTCAGATTATTTTTTTATCGTTGCGATGAAGGCCATGTTGGACGTTGAGGAGTGAAATCTAATTCCAGTATTCGACACCCTATGATTTTCGGTCATTGGATAGTGTGGCTATTCTGATTAGCTGCCACGTAAGATTGGTACAGGATATAAAGCTCACAAAAATCCAACGAAGCACATTCGTAGGGTAGTCCTGTAGAGGGGAGAGAAATTCCAACAATGGGGAGGGGAATGAGACATTTCTCACTAGTTCTTCCCCACCAGAGATAGAATATTTTAGCAACATGGAAACGAGCACACTGTTTGGCAGGAGACCGATTTTAGTGTAGCTATGGTGATGAGTGATTTTCAAGAGCGGAGTTCAGATTACCTCTGGAGCATATTGTTGACGCTGTTTAATGGGTTTGTAAAGTTAACCTTCCGTACAAAGGAATAATTAAATGCCTGATGCGTAGTACGGCAAATCATGTGACGTACCGTGCAATGTAAGCTCAACAGTCGTTTCTAGGACTACTAGCTAGTGTTGTGAGCCCAATCGATTGTGTTGCTGAATAAAAACATTGAGAAGTCAGGTGTTCCAATCTCTCAGAGGTGAAATGAATACTTTTTCGTTAAATCAAGCTCTTGCTTAGCCTCATTAAGCTGTTGATGATCACTAATGTAGGGGTTGCAATATCGTCAGAAATTAATGAAACCACTTAAAAGTACCTGTATAGGTCATGTGCGTTTCAGTCCGTACACTCAGGAATAGTACTGGCAAAAAAGTGAGTAGATTGTTCAACCTCTGAATACTCATCCAAATTAAATGTTACTACAGAGGTTTGACGTTTCTATAAGTGCCCCAGTCACGGAAATGTCTGAACCACTGATCCCAATTTCAGAATGGTCTTCAAATAGTCCACTTATTTCGGGCAAACTTAAACCGATTGTTTTACGAGTCCGCTTATGGGAAAGCATCAAAAAGTAGGCAATTCAGGTTGAGTTTAGATGAGTCACCTTACATTTCGTTGATATAAATACCCGCACGGTGCAGTTTAATCCTCATAATGTAGGATTGCATGTGACCTTAAAGTAGCTGTGGCTGGCAATACATCATCCGTGATTTATCAAGGAACCCATATTTACCGCTTTATTGTTGATGATGAACCTGAGTGATAAACCTGGTGGATGATCGGGTTAGGAGCTCGGAGGAAGATGACACGGGGAGAAATCCATAACCGTTGAGCACATTAGTTTTAAGGCCATTGGAAGAGCCACAAATTCTCTGCTACGGTCTATCTAAATCCCCTAGAAAATTGTGCACATAGGACTTTTGCAGCATCTACGGGAAACGGGACCATATGAAAACGAAATAATAAAGAATGTAAGCAAGAATAAGGGCTTTACAAAAAAATGTACATTTGAATTGGAGGTTACTGGCATATAATATAAAATGTGGGCTATGCATATCTTCCGCAATAGGAGTTTCCCTATCAGTAGGGAGGATCCAAATGGTGGGATGGACCAATGCGGTTTTAAATCATATCAGTACCGGAGAAGCTCGGATCCATTATGCACTTGTGCAAAGAAATTTTATACCTTTGGACAGCTGGAGGTCGGTAAATTGTGGATACTGTGATTAAAACATGGAGAACCAAAGTAGCTCATCCGCTCCTGTTTTGGATGGAATGAAAATTCCTGTACAATTGTGAAAGAGAAGGTAAAGACGCGAGATAAAGAAGAGTAAAGACGTGAAGATTTTGCAGACATCAAATTCGCTTCGAAACGGTAAACTCCTTGTAGCTGGTGCGGTTAAGTGATATGAGGTGGAGGAAGTAAGGTACTCACCGAAAAGGGCTGGATGTGATAACAATGACTATGGCCAATTCTAGATGATGTGCAGAATTCGGATCAAACTAAACTAATAGTTTAAACGATTTTAAGTATCATAGTTGTACTTAAGGAATGTGATGGTTCGCGAAATGACATCATAAACGTGAGATTCAGCTGGATTCCAGGTGAGTTCCCGTCGGAACCAAATTGGTTTACAAATGAGTGTAGTTTGCTAAACTAGTGACAAAAGCTTCTATTTAACACAGGTGAACTAATTTCAGTAGAACTTAGTGAAATACTCTCATTTGCAAACAAATTTGGTTTTGTGAGAGACTCACCTCGGACCCAGCTGAACCTCTCGTTTTCAGGCAACTGAATGTGCTTCATGTTTCATTTGGTACAACATTCGAGATATCACGGTCCATGTATAGATATGATACACGACTCATAAGGTCGCTGAAAATTCTTAGACAGTCCACGACCGGTTTCGCCCTTCTTGGGACACATAAAGTAGGCGCAGTCCCCGAGTTTCCGTCAACCTTAAGCTCAACTTGAAACCAAATTGCACGAAATTAGTGAATATACACTCATTTGCAAACAAATTTGGTTCCAACTGTGACTCATCTGGAATCCAACTGCATCTCTCGTTTATGGTATTCCTATGCTCTACTATCGAAGAATGTTCAGCAACCTAATGAGTAGTGTATTACGTCTATTCAATAGAGCTCATTTCGCTCGCATCAATCCTCTTGTTCCTCCACACCAACCACCAAGCCTCAAGACTTCGTAACCCCCGGCCAAACACAATCACAAAAACAATCACATCTGCAGAAAAGACCTGAAGACCTAGCAACTCAGTGATTACTGACCAATGAGGGTCCTGCTATCCCACACAATGCACGTAATTGTATCGTTGCAATCATTCACCAGCTTCTGATCATTAACATGAAGGAGGGCTTTTCCGGTGACCTTTTGCTCTATAAATCCCGTGTTTGTCAGTCAATTACTTTCATAGAGGGTTGTGTTCATTCCTCAAATTCTTAATGATTTTGCACCGCGTATTTGCCCAACGACCATGTTCCCAAGACGTTTAGTACCATGGATACGATTAAAAGTACAATTCGACTAGTATTACATGAAAACATAGGGAGACAGTTTATTGAAACTGTCAAGTTTCGGAAGGAATAAGGGTTGTGTGACATAAACGTGTCATCAGAAGTGATGCAAATGTTACACGGTCCCGTGAACTCCGCCTAATCACCTGAAAATTCGATGAGTTTGTTTCCAGTGCCTTGGCGATTTATCATTCAGATTGCTTTTGAGTGTTTAGAGGTGCTTTTTGAATGCGCAAGTAACGAACACCTCGCAATTGGGGACACTCTAGTTCACCTGATGGGCGACTTTGACGAATCTGGTACGGTATACCTGACGAATGTATGTGAGACAACACTCTGTGTAAATATTCTGCGCCAACCGCCGCTTTAGCAGTAAAAGATCCGAACTCTGCTGACCCCGTAGTTTCCAGCGGAGCACCAACCGATTTAATCCATGCATTGTATCCAACCATGGCCTGATATTAAAGATGTGCCGATACAACGTGATAACCGTGACAGAACAAAATTCAGCGGGCGTTGCTTTGTACCTTTCCGACCCTATGTAGACAGTCGCCTTCAATAGTCTGCCACGTTTAAGTCCGTCCGATGTGCTTAAATCGGCATGCATCGAAATTACTCGTCCACAAGCCTATAGGGCATCTCGTTCAGTGTACTTTCTCTGCTGGAGCACAGAATATTGCACCTCTGATCTATTTCGCTATACCTCTTCGGACGTGTGCCACAGATCAGATAAACTAAGGTAAACAGTAAATGAACTGCGAAATCTCGAGTATCGTACCAACCAAAACATAAGGAGGTTTTATGCAGCACATTCAGTTGAAGAACATCATAAACGAGAAATTCACTTGAGTCTGCCTTGAAAACAAAATTGATTAACAAATGGGTGTATTTGTCACAAGCAGTCCAATTCGAGTTCAAGTAGAACATAAGGTTGACGGAAACTCTGGGACTGTGCCTAACTGATGAGCCCCAAGAAGGGCGAAACCGGTCGTGGGCTGTTGAAACGTTTTCATAAACCTTGTGAGTTGCTTCCTTTGTGAAAATAAGGTAAACAGTATTTTTGGAAACTATGGAAATTCACTGGAAAGTTTTATTTTTAGTTGCAGAATGACTGGTGATAGAATGCACACAAATACTTAGAATTCAGGTGAATCGAGGCGCTGCATTTTATACGGTCAGTACGGGGAAAGTAACCAACAAGAGAATGATATTGACAATGTGCGAATGCTCTGAACCACTTATACAAATCTAAGCTGTTACACCCATCACGTCATTGTTGTAAGAATGAAGTAGGACACATTCTGACTGTCGTTCAGTCTAACTGTGTAACACCCATCACGTGTTTATCACAATGTGATCATACGATCAAGACTTGAAAACTATCAAGGACATCTGCCTTTCACTCTTATGATTGGCTAACATCTAGCCACTGTCTGGTTTACTGATTCGGCAGTCGAAAACAAAATTTTATCGTAAACACCAACATGACCGATGAACTAGGCAATAAAATTTGGCGAAACACACTAGGTTGCAAGTTAAGTTAACCTACACGGAGTACTTTATAGAATCTCACCACAATATGTAGTTTATGATATTCTTCAACAGAATGTTCTACACAAAGACTGCCTAGTGTTTCAGTTGATACAGCATTCGAAATATCGTAGTATATTTGCTGTAAGCTGTGGGTTGTCGATTAATTTTCAGCGGCCTTTTGAGTAGTGTTCCGTCAAGCATCAGTACAAATTCAGTTGAAGCGGATGAAGAACGACAAGTTGGTAGTATTCTGAATGCGGCCGCACCTCAGTACACACATGAATAAAGACGCTGCGCAGGTCACATGCAGGCAACACAACCGTAGGGGCGCACGCCTTAGGTGAATTCCATCCACTGGAATGCAAAAACCCACTTGCTATGTTATTTTCACCGCTAACTGAATGAATTACCCTGAGTTCAAAAGCAAGGCGCATCATGCGAGACAAATCATATGAAATGTGATAAGCATGAAGCTTTCCGAATCGCTGCACAGCTCAAAAAGAAAGCCAATCGATCGCATAGGCATACAAGGTCACCTGTCGGAGTGAACCGCCCCAACAATAACATATTTCACATTATAATGAATAATTCGTCCGTGAAAATACCAATATCATAGCTGTTCAAAGTGAACACTAATTTGGGTGCGAACGCTAAAGTGTGGACTCGAGAAAGCTATCGAACGAAAGATGGGACGTTCAATCCTTGGTTACGCAATCTCGTGAGATCTGGAAAAGGCTTAAAACTGTGGCAGTTCACAGAGAACCAAACGACGTGCTCCACTAAACCGACAGTTGATTTGAACGACGCGGGTTTATGAATTACACAAAAATGAGGTGATCACGACTCTAATTCGAACGTGGCCGCAGGCATGGACTACTGACAAACGTGCTGGACGAAGCGGCTTCTTAAGGTTACCTGCTGTTCATTCTGGGAGACCATCCAATGGCGACCTTCCGGTTGAACACTATATATGTGGTCACGATGGCTAACAAACCTTGCGATCAATTTACTACTACGCAAAACGTGGTGTAAGTGCATCATACTGCTAAAATACTGCTCATACCCATATGGTATAAGGTTCACTTCCGACCAGGATCCTGAGGTTCTGAGCCATCCTAGAAACTCATGAGATACACTTCTGGGGGACAAAAACGCTGCTTGAATTTTCAGCGGAAACTAGCCTCACTTTCATAAGAATATCTCAGCTGATTCCTCCGTTTTTCCCATGACTTTTAATGTGGCCGAAATTTTATCTAGCTTTTGAACGGTCACGAGGTGAATGAGTTTTCCTTCCGTACCTAAGGTTACCTGTGGTGTTACGCCACACCACGTCAACATCCAAAAACGGAAAATGCTAACTATGGTCCCAAGCAACTCAATCATCTTGGCTCATGTACTATGTTCTCTTCATGATTTCTGAGATCGCTTGAACTTTTTATCGACAATGTCCAATGTCCAATTTTGCACGGGTTGTACACGGGTATTTTAAGTTAACTTTAGGCTTGGAATGAAACTCCGATGAAGAACGCACATTAATTCGTCCCGAAATACACAACCATTGGTCAAAGCCACTCACCGTTTCCACGGTGACTTTGAAATTTGTTGTCTCAGCCACTAGATAAAACTGAAACAATGGAAATGGAACTTTTAGGCAATGCAAATGTAGCGTTATTCCAGAAGGCGGAACATCTATTTCGAGCATGTTGTACATGAGGATGCCATCGTACGGGAAGAGGAGAGGGGACTGCTTCCAACCAAATGAGGTGTGATACAGTTTACTAAGATGTCTCGCTCATTTCCAACGAATATTCGGCAGTTTATGCCACCACTGGGAGTGAATGTTTTCCCAGGCTCCAGAAAAATGACGAACAAAAGCACCTAAATGGTCAGTCTCAAGGAGCTAGTAGATTTTCTTGGTCCGACACCCCATAAAAGGCATGCTCCATGTGTTTTGTTACTCAGTTTGGATATACTGAAATTGTGAATCCGAAACTAATTTTAGTGTAATAACACAATATACGAATGTTAAAATGGCAAGCCTGTACAGTGCACAGGTCTTTGACTATAATAGGCCAGTTTACTTTTCCGTTCTCATAACTCATTTCAACTTCCACTTTCACCATAAGCATTAATTCTTCTTTTTTCAACCCCAAAAAAAGAAATGCAGTAAGTTTTGAACCAGAACTACTATTGGAAGAAAAAAGTAACAAGAAAAACCTGACAAAGAAGTTAGATTTACGAAAATATACTGCGATATCTCGAATATCGTGCCAAATGAAAAATGAGGCGGCCTATGTTAATTCAATTCAAGGCTAATTCAAGGTTTAATGGTCTAAAAAGCAATTAACTTTACAAGGACCATAGGGTGAACGTATATACACAAAGGGACGCAAAAATATGCGTAATGTTTACTGAGTATCACATGGAGTTAAATAGTTCCAGATTCGGTTTGGACATAAGATGTGCATCTAAATTGTTCTTGAAAATGGTTAAACTCGGCGAATGTACAACACTGGGAGGTAGGGAGTTCCAAATGAAACATACACATGTGCAGCACATTCAGTTGTAGAGTATCATAAACGAGAGATTCAGCTGAGTGTCCTGTGAAAACCAAATTTATTTGCAAATGAGTGTATTTCTCGAAAAGAGCCCAATTTGGGTTCAAGAAGGATACAAGGTTGACGGAAACTCGGAGACTGCGCCCAACTGATGACCCCCAAGCAGGGTGAAACCGGTCGTGGGCTGTCGAGTAGTTTCCTCTGTGAAAAGTTTGGAACAACTTCTCAGTATGGGCGTCCTCCTTGCAGTGAGTATCATTCCCATCACGTACGGAACGCGTAGTTCAAAATGAAGGAATTGCCTGATCGTATATTGATAATAGGCTGTCAAAGTGCTATTTGTGATAAT